TGCTTTTGGGGGATTCTAAAGTTGCAAAGGTTAGTGGATGAGTTTGGGAGGGTGTGTGAAGTTAGAAAGTTGAAAGTAAATATAGATAAGAGTAAGGTGATGAGGGTATCAAATGATTTAGATAAAGAAAAATTTGGATATTACATTGGAGGGAGGGAATATGGAAGAAGTGAATGTTTTTAGATACTTGGGAGTTGACTTGTCAGTGGATGGGTTTATGAAGGATGAGGTAAACCATAGAATTGACGAAGGAAAAAGGGCGAGTGGTGCATTGAGGTATCTGTGGAGACAAAGAACATTATCCATGGAGGCAAAGAAAAGAATGTACGAGAGTATAGTGGTACCAACACTCTAATATGGGTGTGACGTATGAGTTGTAAATGCTGCAGTGAAGAGGCGGCTGGAGGCCGTGGAGATGTCATGTCTAAGGGCAATGTGTGGTGTAAATATTATGCAGAGAATTTGTAGTGTGGAAATTAGGAGGAGGTGTGGAGTTACTAAAAGTATTAGAGGGCTGAAGAGGGGTTGTTGAGGTGGTTTGGGCATTTTGAGAGAATGGAACAAAGTAGAATGACTTGGAGAGCATATAAATCTATTGGGGAAAGAAGGTGGGTCCCGAAGGAATGGTCCCAAATCTGCACACAGAAATCACTCCCTACAAAAGTAAAAGACTGGGCATGTGGTACAAAATACCCCCAATGAAAAGTAGGGGTGCTATTGGTACACTAAAAGTAAACACCATAAGTGTTCAGGGCCCAAGACTGTTCAACAGCCTTCTTCCATGCATAAGGGGAATTACCAGTATGCCCCTGGCTGCCTTCAAGAGGGAACCGGACAGATAGTTGGTGCCAGATCAGCTTTGCTGTGGTTCGTACGTTGGACTAAGTGCAGCCAGCAGTAACAGCCTGATTGATCAGGCTCTGATCCACTGGGAGGCCTGGTCGTGGACTGGGCTGCGGGAGCGTTGATCCCTGGAATACCCTCCAGGTAGACTTCAGGTAGGTAGGGGTCATCCCCGATAAGGTTGGAGGGAGGGGGTAAAGGAGGTTTTGTGGGTGAGGGGCTTGGGGATCAGCATAGTTGTTGATCCCCCTTACATGTGTTGTATAGCTTATCTGAGTATCATTGTACCATCCATATGTTATATATAGACAATCCCTTACTAGGCCTAGTGACTGTATGACGTCACGGGATGCGGCATGAGTGGGATGCGCTACCTCGCTCTCAGTCCACGGATAGACCTACAACAGGCAACAAGGCAGGCTGGGACTTCCCTTACCACAGTCTGACAATATATAGTGTTACCATCCACACGTGTGCTTATCTTCAACCATCATATCACTTCCAGCAAGTGTGTGTGAGCATGTTAGATAGGAGTGAATGGAGATGAATGGTTTTTGGGACCTGACAAGCTGTTGGAGTGTGAGCAAGGCAATACAGTGGACCCTCGGTTATCGGCCTTAATCCACTCCAGAAGCTCAGCCTAAAACCGAAATAATATTTCCCATAAGAATTAATGTAATACAATTAATCTGTTCCAGACAAAAATATTCACAAAAAAAAAAAATTTAACAATTAAATCAGTATTACGTACCTTTATTGAAGACTAATGTTGGCTTCTGGAATGCCTGCTTCACTCATGCCTGTTACACTCCCTGCATGCATGTTACACTCCTTGCATGCCTGCTGCACTTCCTGCATGCCTGCTACACTCCTTGCATGCCTGCTACACTTCCTGCATGCCTCCTACACTACCCACATGTCTGCTACACTCCCTGCATGCCTGCTACACTTCATGCTTAAATTCCATGGTGTTTCTCACTTTACCAGGAACTTTTTTTTTTGGAGCCATGGTTACTTATTTCGCAGTTGCACTGCAAAAAAAAACGCAAAAAACAATGGAAAACAAACAAAATGTTTGGATGTATGAGCAGAAGCTTCCTCACGCACCAAGAAACACAGCCAAACTGACACGCAAGCAGCCCCAGCTGGCGGATGGATGCGTCTGAAATGGCTGATCACCGGGAGCCGAACAACCGGTCGATCACTGAGTTGGCCGATAACCGAGGGTCCACTGTATTTTGTGAAGGGATTCGGGGAAACCACTAGCCGGACTTGAGTCCTGGAAATGGGAAGTGCAATGCCTGCACTTTAAAGGAGGGGTTTAGGATATTGGCAGTTTGGGGGGACGTCTAAACTGTCGTATCTGAGCACCTCTGCAAAGACAGTGATTATGTATGAGTGATGGTGAAAGTGTTGAATGATGAAAGTTTTTTTTTCTTTCTTTCTTTTTGTATCACCCTGCCTCGGTGCGAAGCGGCCGACGTGTTGAAGAAAAAAAAAACTATTACTATCTGTTATTAACCCTTTGACTGTTTCGGTCGTATATATACGTCTTACGCACCACTGTTTCTAACGTATTTATATGCGTAAATTCTAGCGGCTTCAAATCAAGCGGGAGTAAGCTGGTAGGCCCACATGTGAGAGAATAGGTCTGTGGTCAGTGTGCACCACATAAAAAAATTCCTGCAGCACGTAGTGCATAATGAGAAAAAAAAAACTGACCATTTTTTTTAATTAAAACGCCGACTTCGAGGTGTATTTTCGTATAGTATTTATCGTTGTATTTTCGTTTTCATGGTCTCAGGTGATAAAATGGAAAACATATTACAGAAATAGAATGATTTTGATTATTTTTCACGATGAAAAGCCTTAAAAATTGAGCTCAAGTGAGGAAAGGTTCAATTTTTACAATGTTCAGGGTAAGCAAATCCACCACATGTCCAAATACTATTTTTATACCATTTTTCAATAATGCATTTGTCTGCAAACAGTAAATTTTGTATTTTTTTTGTATGAAAAAAAAATAAAAAATAGAATGAAATATAATATAGGGGGCTAGAGACATGACAGAGTTGTTATTTTGTAAAAAGAATGTCTCATTGTTTATTCTGGACCCTTTTTTTGAAATTGGCATCTTTTTTAACTTGCATAAAATTTGGCCCAAAATTTGCCAATTTCGCCCTTTATTGGGTAGTTCAAATTGGTAAATGGGCGGTTTCTTGTATCAACTGATGAAAAAATGGAGTTCTAAGAAATAGCTATAATTTTGGGTTTAAAATGGAACAATGGACTTGGCCAAAAAAAAGGGTCAAAGAGGCGAAAGCCGATGCGTATGTCGCCGAGACCCCCAAACTTCAGGGAGCATAATTCCGTGAGTTTTCGACAATTTCGTTTTTTGGGTCATCACCTAAAAAAAGTTCTCTATATTCATAGAATGAGTTTCAAAAAGGGGCCTGTGAAAAATTAATAATTTAGGTAATTTTGTACTAGTTTATCTTGCACTATTTATTAAATTATATTAATGCATTTGCAAACCCTTTTCTTTTAGGGGATCTATAGAGCTTAGTTTTTTGAGGAAAAAAATGATCTTCTTAAGCCCAAAAAATTAAAATTTTGGGCTTTTTTGTCCATGACTCTGAAATCGAAATGACATGATTCAAAAAAAACCTACCCAGGCCCGGGAAATTTAACTCATACGCGGTTTTCAAAAAAACTCCCAACCAACATGGTCTGGAGTTTTATTAGGGCAAATTCGCTGTTGGTTTTTTTTTTTTTTTCCTTTGGGGGGTTTTTAAAATCCTGCCTATTCCCCAAATTTCTCTGAAAAATCCTGTGAAATATAACCTACGTGTTCATTATTTTTTAAAAAAAAAGAAGCGCTAAACCTTGGGTCATACAGTGCTGCAAGGCAGGGGTTGATGCAAAATCAAAGGGTAAACAAAGGTGGGGGAGGACAACAAAAGGGAAAAATTTTGGGGGGGCTGTGAGGGGGTATACAGGAAGGGGTTACTAAAGTTTGTGCAAAATAAGTTGCTATCAAAAAGCCAAAGGGGCGTCTGTCAAAAGGGGGTCCCTCAACAAAAGGGGGGAAGATAAAATAAAAAGGTTTGAGCGGGGGGACAATGTCGGGGAAATTCTGCGTGTCGTTTTTGAAAGTTAAAACACTTTTGAAGTTTGGTTTTTTATTTTAGAGTTTTGCCATTGGTGGGGAACGTCTAAAATAAAAATAAACCCGATGTTTCACAATGTCTTAAATTTCATCTTGTCGGTATTGTATACCTGTCTTGCACAAAGTGCTGTTTATAAAAAGGACCGTTCCCTTGAATTGGGGGAAAAATTAAAGGACACTTGTCTTACTTATGGGTTCCTAAAATGATCAGTAATTGAATATTTGAGCTTGCAGGGGGAGTGTTCCAGTTATTGGTCTTCTTTACTTTCAATGTGCTGAAATAATTGAGCATTGTCTTATCTATTTTTAAACCCCTGTGTGAAGTTTGCTTCCACTGTCATTACTCAGCTTATTCCACTTTACCATTCTTACACTGAAGAAATATATTCTAGTATTCCTGCAGCTTATTTGGGTAGGTAATTTCTAACTGTGCTTCCTTTGTTCTTGTTGCATCCCTGGAGAGTTTATTCATGTCAATCATTACTATAGAGTTTTACATCATTTACCAAATTTCAAGTGTTCAGTAATGTTTATAATTAAAAGTTATGATAGGTGTGTAGAACCTCTTTTAATTGCTCCATCTGATAATTATTATTATTATAATCAATACTAAGTGCTAAACCCACAAGTGTCATACAGTGCTGGTCTGTCTGAAAAAGAGTAAATTCATCTGCTATCTTTTTCAGCGAGGTGGCTCTTATGTGACCCCTTCCCCCCTACACAAAGCTGCTGTAGAGGTTACTCAAGAGCCTTATTGACTCACTGACTTGTACCAATTTTTGTATCAACTTGTTACTTTGCACCTCTTGCCATTTTATATTTTGACTAAAAGTTTTATAACAGTAGCTTATTGTGGTAGAGGAAAATGTACAAGGGAGTACTACAGCCACAGCAAGGATCCAATAAGTAAAGCTTAAATTTTTCACAGTAGTGTTCCCAAAGCACACTTGTAATACGTATACTATATTCTTTACTCATCCCATAACAGGAAGAAAAATTAAAGGAGTACAGAAGAGAGAAGCGAAAGGAACGGAAGCGAAAAGCAGATTCTTCTGTTGATGAAGATGCAAGTTCAGGTGGAATGGACCCAGAAATGGCAAAAATAATGGGCTTTTCAGGATTTTCATCATCTAAAAAATAACTTTTGTAACATAGGACTTTTCTCACTCACATTACTGGTGTGATTGTACCTTGATTTTGACAGTGCAAGTTAATCTACGATTAAATACTAAAACTACCTAAATTTTAAATATTGGTTTGTACATAAATGAAAATGTTCATTTAATGATGCACAAGATTTGATGTTATATAGTTTTTGAAAATTATTCAAACATACGATACTGTGTATTATCATCCATAAATAATGTACATGTTATGTCAGGTACAATAATGTTTACTAAATAAATTATTTTGTAAAATAAATGTTACTCTCTAATACTTCATTCAACATTTAGAAATAATGACAAATATTACAATTAAAATTTTACTACCCTAATATAATGCATTATGGATATACTACTATTTTGCTGATGGTTCAGGTATCAATGGCCTGGGTCAGTCAGGCTGGAGTTAACATGTAGTCTGTCAGACACCACAGCCTGGTAGGTCAGAAACTGCCTACCTGGAAATTTTTGTTTAAGTTTTCCTTTCAAGGTAGGTGCCTTTATCAGTGAAAAGCACTTAGTCCAAGGAATTGCAGCCATCCTACCTTGAATGCCTTATTACCAAGGTTAAGCCAAGGAATTATTTATGCCCCCCCCCCCCTCTGGATCTAATTTGAATGCCTCCCATTTCCCAGGTGCTACATGATCTTACAGGTTTAACACTTACCAAATTAATTAAAACAAGTAAGTCACCAGCATTTTTGGCATTCTCAAGTAATCATACTGGGAAAGCACTAGTATGTATAGTTAACCTTGGATGACCCCTCACCTCAAGGCACTTCCCCCGATTAGTTATTGCATTCTTGCTTTTCATGGAGGTACAGGTTTAGCACTTTGGTTATAATAATAATTGGAGGTACAGTCCAGATATTTTGCAAGATTATTTTACCTCTGCGTTTAAATGGAAGTAGGTAGTAGGTTAGTAGACAGCAACCACCCAGGGAGGTACTACCGTCCTGCCAAGGGTATGTAAAACAAAAGCCTGTAATTGTTTTACATGATGGTAGGATTGCTGGTGTCTTTTGTCTGTCTCATAAATATGCAAGATTACAGGTATATCTTGCTACTTCTACTTACACTTAGGTCACACTACACATTCATCTGAAGTGTTCTTTGATTTAATCTTAATAGTTCTTGCTTCTTATTACTTTTCCTTTTATATCCATGGGGAAGTGGAATAAGAATCTTTCCTCCGTAAGCCATGCGTGTTGTAAAAGTCAACTAAAATGCCAGGAACAATGGGCTAGTAACCCCTTTTCCTGTAATAATTACTAAAAAGAATAATTAGAAAATTTTCAAAGTGGGATGTCTGAATGTGTGGATGTTGTGCGAATGATAAGAAAGAGATGATTGTGGATGTTATGAATGAGAAGAAGCTGGATGTTCTGGCTTTAAGTGAAACAAAGCTGAAGGGGGTGGGAGTGTTTCAGTGGAGAGGAATGAATGGGATTAGGTCAGGGGTTTCAAATAGAGTTAGAACTAAAGTAGTAGTAGCAATAATGTTGAAGGATAAACTATGGCAGGAAAAGAGGGAGTATAAATGTATTAATTCAAGGATTATGTAGAGTAAAATAAAGGTTGGATGTGAAAAGTGGGTTATAGTAAGCATATGTGCACCTTGAGAAGAGAGAAGTGTAGAGAGAGAGAGATTTTGGGAAATGTTAAGTGAATGCATGGGGAGTTTTGAACCAAGTGTGAGAGTACTTGTGGTTGGGGATTTAAATGCTAAAGTGGGTAAAAATGTTGTAGAGGGAGTAGTAGGTAAATTTGGGGTGCCAGGGGTAAATGAAAATGGGGAGCCTTTAATTGAGCTATGTGAAGAAAGAGGTTTGGTAATAAGTAATACATATTTTATGAAAAAGAGGATAAATAAATTTTCAAGGTATAATATAGCACGAAATGAAAGTAGTTTGTTAATGTATTGGTGGGTAAAAGGTTGATGGGTAGGCTTCAGGATGTACATGTTTATAGAGGGGTAACTGATATATTGGATCATTATCTAGTTGTAGCTACAGTTAGAGTAAGAGGTAGACGGGACAAGAGGAAAATGGCAACAACAAGTAAGAGGGAGGTGAAAGTGTATAAACTAAGGGAGGAAGTAAGTTTGCATGAGATATAAGCAACTATTGGCAGAAAGGTGGGCTGGTGCAGGTATGAGTAGTGGGGGGGTTGAAGAGGGTTGGAATAGTTTTAAAAATGCAGTATTAGAATGTGGGGCAGAAGTTTGTGGTTATAGGAGGGGGGGTTGCAGGAGGAAAGAAAAGTGATTGGTGGAATGAAGTAAAGGGTTGGGTAAGAGAAAAAGGTAGCTTATGAGAGGTTTTTACAAAGCAGAAGTGTTAAAAGAAGAGTGAGGTATATGGAGAGTAAAAGAAAAAAAGTGAAGACAGTGGTGAGAGTACAAAAGGAGAGCAGATAGAGTGGGAGAGGCACTCAAGGAAAAATTTTTAATGAAAGAAAAAATTTTGGAGTGGTTAAACAAGTTAAGCAAGCCTAGGGAACAAATGGATTTGTCAGTCAAAACAGAGTAGGAGAGTTCGTGATGGGGGGATGGAGTATTGGGTAGATGGCGAGAATACTTTGAGGGAAAAATTTTTAAAAGTCGGCGAAGAAAGGGAGGTGGGAATTTCATGCATGGCCAGGGAGGTATACATTTTTTAGGAGTGAAGAAGAGCAGGATGTAAGTGTGGGGGGGGTGCGTGAGGCATTATGTAGAATGAAAGGGGATAAAGCAGCTGGAAACTGACGGGATCATGACAGAAATGTTAAAAACAGGGGGGTTTATAGTGTTACAGTGGTTGGTATTTTGGTTTAATAAATGTATGAAAAAGGGGAAGGTACCAAGGATTGGCAGAGAGCATGTACAGTCCCCCTTTTTATAAAGGGAACGGGGACAAGAGAGATTGTAAAAATTATAGAGGAATAAGTTTACTGAGTATACCATGAAAATGTCGGTAGGGTTATTATTGAAAGAATTAGTGGTAAGACAGAAAAGCATGATTGCGGATGAGCAAGGAAGTTTTAGAGTGGGTAGGGGGTGTGTAGATCAGGTGTTTCCATTGAAGCATATATGTAAACAGTATTTAGATAAAGGTAGGGAAGTTTTTATTGCATTTATGGATTTAGAAAAGACATAAAACAGTGGATAGGGGAGCAATGTGGCAGATGTTGCAAGTATATGGAATAGGTGGGAAATTACTAATGCTATCAAGTTTTTTTTGAGGACAGTGGGTCAGATTGGGTGTGTGAAGAGAGGGGACTACTTCCTGGTAAAAATAGGTTTTAGACAGGGATTTTGTAATGCACCTGGTTGTTTAATATTTTATGTGGGGGGTTTTAAAAGAAGTAATTTCTGGGTGTTTGGGGCAGGGGTGGGTTAAGAGTACCATCAGGATAGAATGTCAAAATAGTTAAGAGTAGCTAGCAGTTTTTCACAAGGATCGTATAAGACCAATATAGTATTTATGTAAATGACATTCCAAAGGAAACGATTCATATATATTCCTGATCGTATGCAGTATTAAAATTTAGTGGAAAAAAACAGATGAGGACAAAGGAAAGCTCCAAAGGGATCTGCACTAATTGCAAGAAGTGTCAATTGAGTGGATTGCCGAGTATTCACACCCAGTGAAATGAGAAGTCGAAGACTGTAGGGGGGAGGGGAGACAAGACCAGACACTAGGTATACAGAGGATAAGGGACAGGATACAGACTTGTTCACTCTTCAAAGAAAGACCTAGGTTCACCAGAGGTTCACGAATTGGCTGAATAACCATTGTAACAGATCTCATCTGCAAATCAAGAGTTGTCTTTCAGCAATCTCAGCAGTCTTTCCAGGCCCTTTACAATATCTACCCATCTTGAATAGTGCACCAGTATGGAACCGCACATCAGAAAAACATGTTACACTGAGAGAAGCATAACGTATGGACCAATAGCTGCTGCCTAATTAGGGACACAAGCTAGAGCGAGAGGTTAACACACTGGACCCAACAACATTGGAAGATAATAGAACCAGGATAATGTTAAAAAATTCTCAGGGGAACTGAGAAGGTAGATAGTGTGATAGGCAGTTTAAAAAGGGAAGGAATCAGGAACTTCAGGGAGCACCACCAGTATCAAGATGAGCCACAGAGATGTGAAGGAATTGTGTATCTCTTCGGTATCCAAGTGGTTATCTTGAGTACCACCTGACTCATTTAAGACTGATCATGTATCCGTTCCTGCTATTTAAGACTGATCATGTACTCACCACTCCAGTGTCCTCTTCCATCTAAGTGACTGAAAAAAAAAGTTTTAAACAAAAAAGGCTATCCTGTTATAGTTTTTTTGAAGAATGAGTCTGGTCAGCTGAGAACGGCATGGTTCAGACCTTAAGGTGGGGTCCTCAAATGAAAAGCGCCTTGTAGTCGTGCCAGCAGCTAAGTCCCAAAGGCTAAAGTCTGTCCTCAGGAACCAGACAGCGGCAAAGTGTCCATCCAAAGATAATTACCTGTAATATTAATTTAATTATGACATGAAATAAGTTCACTGAAGCACTAGCCATTATTTCTTCCGTCAATTTTTGTAAATGTAAACCATCGTACGTACCACATCAGATATAAAATGGAATGTTCCGTAAGACGCTTCTGGAGTAGACCGGATGATTTCTCCTCAGTATACGAGTTAGCTCACAAGATCAGTGCTTGTCTGAAAAAAATATTAAAAGCTCAGCAGAATACAGAACACTAATAATATTTGGCAATACTCCTAGCTGTAAAATTCAACCCTTTCAAAAAAGCACTTAAAACTGCATACAAAAAAGTTTATTAACCCGAATGCAACTTTTGTTTCTCAATGCACAAAATTTGCCACAAAAAGGTTTTCATTTGGAGGGGTAGATCTGAAGGTATTACACCAAAAGTACAATTTGTGGAAAACTTATGTAATTATTCAGGTGCAAAGATTAGCAGTCACGAGTGCAATTTACTACTAGCAATTTCATTCACATGCAAAATTACTAGTTCAAGATTCGACAAATGCCAACTTATACTACAAAAATAGAAATAGATGTAGATTGGAATACTGGCATATAGTAAGGCCCAAAAACTTTGCTCAGTTAGCCGATGGTGGACAATGACCCAGAAACAAGCTGTGAATTTTTTTTTATTTCTTGGAAAGGCAATCAGGTTCAATCCAAGGAAGCAATTACATTCCATTGGATGCCGAAGAACCCATCACTGGCATCAAGGAAAAATGTGAAAACTCTCGCAATGGAGAGCCTTAAGCCCCTTCCTAGCATACAATTCACTCATTATCAGTAAGTTTTCATATCAGTCAAGGGCAGGCTAGAGGACTTGAAATATAACTGCTAGTATCCACAATACAGTGGCATGTTGGTTCACCATAAGCTAATAAAATTCTGGACTCAAATCAAGAGATAAGAATAACTTGTCCTCTAAGTATACTTAATGCTAGTATAATGTGACCATAAAACGCATCATTTAGATTATGCTGTCAGTCCATGATTCTGCCCATATCAGAGAATGGACGTAAATGTGGCTACAAAAAAAAAGACAAGATAGGCTGAAGGCACT